TAGAACACTTAAACATACTTTAATTAGAAATCTAGAATAGCAAAGCCCTGATTAGTCATTTTGATTTGGAAGCATCTTCTGATTGTGTAGATTCAGGTTCCTTCAAATTCTAAGCTTTGCAGGTAGGGTGGGGTCATTATGGGTTAAGTTTTAAATAGGGGTGCAGAAAAAATCTCTGATTTGTTTTTCTCAATAACTGCAAACATTTTACTAATCAAATATATTCTTGTAAAACATCACTCTGGTAGTGTAGATTTAGCTGCAGATCTGTAGCGTTATGGTTTTATATATTTGTCTTTGACCATAACACTACAGATCCCGTAGGAAAAGTGAAAATTGGACTTTCCAGATCGTTCAATCAACTACCTTTCAACCCCAGAACACATTATTTAATTAATCTTGATGTATCTCCCAACCCTTTATAGTCGTCTCTACAAGTGATAAACTCGCTTGATTAAAATTATTTGTTAGATTACTGAAAATTCATATCCAGCGAGTTTATTGCCTTTAGAGACAACGATAAATTGTTGGGAGGTGGATAAACTATACATATTGGCTACAGAATGTGTCTAGAATTAGAGCGTGAAAGGTAATTGATTGACAAAAGCTAGGAATCAAAGTTTTATATGACATTGCACCTTTTTTTAAACATGCGTTATGGTCAAAGACAAATATATAAAACCATAACGCTACAGATCTGCAGCTAGTGTAGATTCAGATTTGTTCATTTGGGGTAGTGTGGGGCCACATTGGGTGTCTAAAGTAATTCAAAGGAATGAAGAGGAAAAAACTTCAAAATCATCTTCTCAAGAACACCAAAGTTATGTTTATTTTTATATCATAACTTCATATTTCAACTTAATTTGGCACAGAGTATCCTTGAATGAAGGAGTTTCAAGTATGTCAAATGAAGGGCCACATCCTCATTTGTCATTTTGATATGAAAGTAAAATCCTCAGGTAGTTTAAATTCAAGTTTGGTCACATTATGAATCCTAAGGGGTGGGGGTAGGACAGCAATGGGTGATCAAAGTTTTAGATTGCCAAAAAAGTTTTTTAGAAATATCTTTTAAAAATTTTCATAGCAGAAAATCCATGAATCAGTCATTTTTTATGGAAGTTTCCTCATGCAGCATAGATTAAAATTTGTTCACATCAGGATCTCCATGGAGATGATGGACTATAGTGGGTGATGAAACTGATACAATAACAGTAATTCATAAAAAATCTTTACAAATATTCTTCTCACAACAGCTAGATTATTATAAGTCATACAGTAAAACTCTTTTAGTAAGATCACGGGTATTGCCAATTCACGGATATAGTGATGTTATCTTGGATGACTAGCTTTATATATTTAGCTCATTCCATATACAGATATAACGAATTATGGATATAACGAAGTGATTCCACAGGTCCAAGCTACTTTGTTATAACCAAGTTATACTGTATTTACTGGTATTTGTAAGCATCCTCAGGTTGTTTATAGATTCAAGTTTGTTCAAATTATTGTACTTTGGGTTGGATGGGTCAACACTATATGATTAAAGTCTTCCTTGTGAATAGACTGGGGGAAATGATGATACTCAGGTGAGCATTTTGGCCCATGGGCCTCTTGATTTATGGATTATATCACATCTTAGGATCATGCATCTTCTAACATCTTTCTCTGATGTCAAATCTCACTTTAAACTGTAACAAAGAAAAACTTAAAACTTCTCCCGACTTCCTGGTTTGTTTTTTAGAAATGTACAAGTTTAATATAGATATATATTTGATGTTCATCGTCAGTAGAGGGTAAGATCATTGTCCCGTGGCCAATACTCTTTTTCATTGATAGACACCCCCCTCCCTGTCCCCAACCCCCAGTTTAGTCTTGTGGCTTGTATATATGCCTTGTATGATTGTTTATGCACAGCTCACATATGCCTGCTTATTTGCAGCTGTAAAAGTTGAATTGATGCATACATGATTAACATCTTGAAATGGTCATGCAGTTTACTTAAAGTGTAAAAATATTTTGGGGATTCAGTATATAGTTCTTGATAATCTTTATGAAGAGGGATTGGTTCGTAAAAGGGTTTATTTTTGTACTTTAGTTTTTTTCTTAAGTTTAAGATTGTCCAACATGTAGGATCTGTGGATATTTGTCCTAATAGTAAAGCAGATGTACATGGGAATGGGGAGAGTGTGGTTATTTTATACATGTAGTCCATCACCACTGACAGATACAGTAATGAAGTGGTATACAAGGTGTTATTTTAGGAAAGTCATATGATAGATGCATGTTTGTATACATAGAATTAAATACCACATTAGTGTTATACCTAAATTGTTTTTGTTTGTTGGATATTGAAAATATATACATGTATAAGGTTTGTCTCTATTTGAGATTTGTTCATAGAATATGCTTTAATTTTTTTATTCTAATTGTCCTCTTCAGTTGCAGTAGATAGTGGAAATAGTGTGAGGCAATGTGTAACAGTAGATAGAGGTCTATAAATACTATAAGTTATATTTCTTCACATTCTCACTAAACAATGAAGTGCTGTGTTATTGTTAGGATCAGCAGAGACAAGAGTTTGAGGAGACTCTTCAGAATGCATTAGTGTGTCACTATAAATTACATTTCCTTTGCTTTATTAACTTGAAATTGAAAAACAAAAAATATTTTACTGTATCCTGACTTGTTTACTTCACCTCATGAAAGGACTGATTAAGGTGTGAACAGAAACTGTATCCATGTAGGTGGTTAAAAATTTCAAAGAAGAAGGTATAGTTTTAGCTTTATTGTGCCCTAAAAATGTAATGACATCAAAAAGTTTTGAAACTGGCTTAAATATTTAGTTAAATAAATGACTTTGATAAATCAGGAAAGAATATGGCATGAAGGTTTACCATTCTGCAAACAGAAAAAGCCTCAAAATGGCACATTTAGGGTGATTTTCCATAAAAAACATGTCCACAGCCGTCGCCCACGTTAATTTTTTGATATTTTGTGCAAAATTCAATAGCAAAAATATCTCAAGAATTTATGAAAGAAAATTCCATTGAAAATTGGTGTCTTCTGCAACTTTTTAAGAAAATACGGGAAAATGCACATGTTTATGACGTCATAATTAGCATTTAAAAGCACATGTGAGAAAAATGACTTGTTTGCTTTTTCTGCATTGAATTTCAATTATTTAAAAAGTATCAACTTTTACACCAGTTTCATTTTTTAGAAAATCACAGGGCAAAATTTGTATGGAAACCATACCTTCTTCTTTATGATAGGTCAGGGATTGAAAATGACAGAGAAAGGCAAAACAAAAAGTATATCTCGCCTGATAAGAAAAATAAGAATTATTCTTTTTACAAAAATGTATTTTGTTCTATGTTTATTGTACAAAGAACGAGGTATATGGTTCCAATACAAATATTGTCGTGTATTTTTCTAAAGTTTAGAAGTGATGTAAGAAATTAAAATTCATCCTTTAAGTGTTTCTGAATTACTGTGAGATCACAAATAGTGGGGGGGGGGGTAATTTTCATTGTTTTCAGGGTATGGAGAGACCTGGGAATTCATGACCACCACAAAATGTAAAATTTTATATGCATTACTTTTAAACACTTTCCAACCTCGAAATCAATTCCCCACAAACCTTTATTTTTTCCTCAAACCTAAAACTGACCCCACGAAAATATGTGATTTTACTATATTGAAATTCCATGCACAAAACATAAATAAACAGAAGTATAATATCAATTATGTCAGCATAAAGAGATTGTACATTTTTTGTAATCAGTATTATAAAAATTATTTAAAAACTGGTCTAAATGCATAGTTTTGATGCTGAAAGTTCCAAAATACTTGCTACTTATCAGATACTTTTGAATTGTGAATATCAGGGAAATTATTTTATGTTAGAACTTCAATAAAGAAAAAAAAAAATTCTGCATGAAGATGTAACCTGAGAAGGAGTTGTTGCCCTTGTCAATATTTTTTAAAGATTGAATAATTAAAGAAAATGCACATTTTAAAAATTCTTTTACTTAACAATATTTATCATTACACCTGTTGAAAGCTATTTTTCAAAAGGCATTGTTGTGTTGCGCATGAATTTAATAATAGTTTTTGCAAAATCCTATGACATTATAGGAGGATGGAAATACCTTATGTCATTATGAAATTATTTTTAGGTCCAAAAATTAAATCTATATCTATTAATTCTTATCAGATTGTGGTGATGGCTTCATAAAACTGAAATTATTTGCATTTAGTCTGAGTTTCTGGAAATGTTTAATAATCAGGTAGTTAGCTATAGGTCCAGTACGTAATTATATGAAAAAAGCTGAGTTTGCATATTACTGCACGTACTAATATGTACAGTGTTCAGTTTAAGTTCTACCTATCTTTTATTATTCTTTGTGAACAGACTTTTTCTATACCTTTTTTGGCAGACCATTCATCTAAAGAAGGTGGTCATTAAGACCATTCTGTACAAAACTCTCTGATAAGGTTACCACTATTGTAATTCAAACATTGGGCTGTACATTCAAAGATCCAAAATACTTGAAGGTCATCAACAGGAAATATACTGGCGTCTGGGCAATATTAAACTATTCATAAATCTGATTCAATTTTCCCATGCTTCTTAAGCTGGTGTAGTTTTATTTTATACACTGGAAGTGCAAATTTGATTTGAAGTATTAATCTTGCCATCAATCTTATGAGCATTTCCTTTGTTATATTTTTAGCTTCTAAGGCACCCACCTTAAAATGGCAAGGACAAAGCGACATGCATTAAGTCAGTGACTGAAACTTTTCTGATTGGTTCCTGTCTTTTGAAATTTAGGAAAAACTGAAAAAAACATAATTGATTTCTCTAATGTAAAATTTAGTGCTATGGAATCTCAGGTGCAGCTTTTCTCTACCTAAGTTTAAGTGCTGACCAGTAAAAATGTCTCGTCAGAAATTTCTAGCTATAAAATCTTCAATTCCTGTCTTGTTTATTCCAGCACAATATGATGAGGACCTCTATGAGGTGACAACTGCTGAGGACCCTGTACTTCTTGCTGCGGAACCTTTACCTCTCGCTGCAGACCCAGCTTATTCCTCATCCTCAAATTCAACTGAAGAATCAGCAACAACTAGTGACAGTGTAACAACTGAGGAAGAATCAGTTTTTGTTAAAATGCCACTTTTGCCAGTGGTGTTACAACTGAAAAGGAAAAACTGAAAAAAACAACTATTTCTCTAATGTAAAATTTAGTGCTAAGAAACAACAACTAGTGTCAGCTTTTACAACAACTGAAGAAGAAACAAAAAATAGTGCCAGTAGTACAACAACTGAATAAGAATCAACAACCTCTCTTGTTTATTCCAGCACAACAATGAGGAAGAGGAAACAACAACTAGTGCCAGTAGTACAACAACTGAAGAAGAAACAACAACAACTAGTGTCAGTAGTACAACAACTGAAGAAGAATCAACAACAACTAGTGTCAGTAGTACAACAACTGAAGAAGAAACAACAACTAGTGTCAGTAGTACAACAACTGAAGAAGAAACAACAACAACTAGTGTCAGTAGTACAACAACTGAAGAAGAAACATCAACAACTAGTGTCAGTAGTACAACAATTGAAGAAGAAACAACAACAACTAGTGTCAGTAGTACAACAACTGAAGAAGAAACAACAACAACTAGTGCCAGTAGTGTAACAACTGAGGAAGAAACAACAACAGCTAGTGTCAGTAGTACAACTGAAGAAGAAACAACAACAACTAGTGCCAGTAGTGTAACTGAGCAAGAATCAACAACAACTACCAGTAGTACAACAACTGAAGAAGAAACAACAACAATAAGTGTCAGTAGTACAACAACTGAAGAAGAAACAACAACAATTAGTGTCAGTAGTACAACAACTGAAGAAGAAACAACAACAACTAGTGACAGTGTAACAACTGAGGAAGAAACAACAACAACTAGTGTCAGTAGTACAACAACTGAAGAAGAAACAGCAACAACAACAAGTCCCAGTAGTATAACAACTGAGGAAGAATCAACAACAACAACTACCAGTAGTACAACAACTGAGGAAGAAATAACAACAACTAGCTTCAGTGGTTCAACAACTGAGGAAGGAACAACTAGTGTCAGTAGTGTAACAACTGAGCAAGACTCAACAACTAGTGCTAGTAGTACAACAAATGAGCAAGACTCAACAACTAGTGTCAGTAGTGCAACAACTAGTGCCTATAGTATCACAACTGAGGAAGCATCAACAACAACTAGTGTCATTAGTGTAACATCTGAGGAAGAAACAACTTCTGTGAGTGAAATTACATCTGCACAAACATCAACTAGTAGTGATGAAACAACAATTGCTAATGAAGCAACAACCACAGAGGTTTCAACTAGTGTCACAACTGGAGCTGAGATATTAACAACAACTGTGAATGAATTAACTACTAATAGTGAATTAACAACTGTTAATGAAGCAACAACTACAACTGAAATCACAACTGGAGAAACAACCACTGCTAATGAAATCACAACAGCTACTACATCTCCTGACACAACAAGTACTGAAAGTGAAACAACAACTGATAGTGAAATGACAACTGAGTCGGTAAGTACAAGTATGTCAACCTCATCAGCAACCACTGAAAGCAGTACAACTGCAGAAACAACAAGTACTCCCACCAGTGAAACAACTACAACAAGCCTAAATATTGGCATGTCCACAATGGAAGACACAACTTCTTCTGTTCAATCTACAGTTACTGAAGACATTACCTTAAATGTTACTAGTACAATAACAACTGCTGAAAGTGTGACTACGTCTGAAATCCAAAGTACATCCACAGCTAGTAGTTCCTCTAGTATGGCCTCCACAGTTGATGAAACTACAACCACTGTCCAAACCACCACTGAAAATCCAGTGACAACTTCTGGTAGTACGCCTACCACAACTGGTGATCAGACAACTTCTACACAAAGTGTAAGTACAACTGCTGAATCTGGAACAACATCAGTAAGTCAGGGCACAACTGAAACACAGTCGACACTTTCTGAGGTTCAGTCTACTACTGAATCTTTAGATAGTACCACAAGTGAAATTCAGACTACATCTGAAAGTCAAATAACAACAGAAACAACAGGGACTCAAACCAGCACAAGTGACAATGTGAGCACAGAGAGTGTTAGCACATCCACTGAATCTGTGACAACAGCTGGCTTTGAAAGCACGACATTAACAGAAGGAAATGATTCCACGCTAACAACTTCCACGTTCACAACCCAATCAAGTACAGAACTACTCACATCTGATGAATCTCAGACAGAAGGAAGTTCTACTCTCCCATCCACATTCTCAACTGAATTATCAATGACCTCAAGTGAAGGTCAAACCACAGCTTCTACAACTGGATCAGACTCAACTACTATGGAATTATCAACTTCTTCTTCTACTGTTCAAACAGAGACATCTAGTGAATCAACTAGTGAATCAACATTTAACCCAACTTCACAAACAACAACCACTGAAACAACAGAACTTGAGACTACTGTAGTATCAACAACTACAATGACTCCAGTTACAAGTTCAGGACTGCCATCTGAAGTTTCTTCAGAATCAACAGCTTTAACTTCAACTGAAAGCTCAACCAGCTCATCAGTATCAACATCAGTGGATGAATTTACTGGATCAACATCAACTGTTATTACAACTGTAGGAGAATCCTCCACAACCACTGAGGCAACTCAATCTACTACATTATCTGGATCAACATCAGAGTCATTTGAATCAACAACAGAGCCCTCTGGCTCAACAATACAGACAACTGAAACAACAACACCAATGTCTGAGTCAACAACCCAGATTGCTCCGACTTCTGAATCAACAGGGCCATCAACTGAAACAGAGATCTCCACTGTCTCAACATCACAATCAACAACTCCAGTTTCTGAATCAACAACACAGCCATTTACAACAACTACTCAAGCTGTAGGGACTTCTGAATCAACTCTACCATCAACTGCAACAGAGACCACTGTTTTAACTTTTACTTCGGAAGAGGCTACTGGGACTACAACAACTACTGGGACTACAACAACAGAAATCTTTCCAGGACTAACAGCCAACCCTACCGTCTCTACAGAACCAACGACACCACAAATAAACACTACAACTCCTGTAGAATCAACGACAGTATTATCAACTTCTACAGAATCGACCACAGAGGTAACCTCTGGTGTTACAGAAACCACAGAGTCTCCAACTCCAACACAGACTGTATCAGTGTCAACTCCAGAGGTTACAACCGTGGAATCAACGACAGTTACGTCAACTTTTGTCCCAACACAGACTTCCTTTGTCAGCTCCTCAACAACAGTCATTTTATCGTCAGACACATGTAAGTGATTACTGTTATATCGTTTTATATATTTTAACTTTGGAGACAGAGATTTTGTAGTTTTTGTCAGAACACTTTTTAACACATACATTTTCTTTTTGAGATTTTGAAAATTGTTTTTCTTTCTCTGTGAGCAGTAAATTGTAATGTTTTATTTTCAGTGCCTGTGAGTTCTCTGGTGGCTATTGTAGTCCCCTCCCTCCTCTTGTTTTTTATAATTCTGGCTGTTCTCTTATCAGGATTTTTCATCCTCAAGTAAGTTTACAACACATCAAACTAGGTTTACAACAAATCAAGTACAATATTTCTTATTATCATTAGACCTCAAAGGATTACAGATGAGGCTTACTATATTGACAATTAAGAGAAACTTGCTTAATTAATGTATGACATGCTTTGACATTGATACTGAATGTTCTGCCCATATTTTAATGTTATTTTCATCTTGTATGTTGATAAATACCTTCGGATCCACTTTCTCTTTGAGAGGCGGTATGAGGTTTCTTTTTAATTATAATAATATCTAAAAAGAGTGTAACTACATATATTTAATGTAAGAAGAAGCCATTGATCAAATCAGGAGATGATTCTGATTTTAGGAAACGAAATCGGCAGAAAATTTCAGATGAAGAGATAGCAGGCAATGATGTCATCATTACTGATATGATGCCATTGACACCTATACCTAACGGAACCAATGGTGTCGTAAAAAAAGGTAACAATAGTTAATGATACCTGTTGTATAAATTGAAGCACAATATCAAATCTGGGGTTTCTGTGTAAAAATGAATCAGCAACATGTTTATGTAAGTATTAAAGCTAGTTTAATATCGACAGGTTCTCCAAAGGCTGCTAGGTTTCATTGAATAATCTTTTTTTCTGCGCCTAGATTTTGATGAGTCTCTTCCCTATAAGTATGATGAGGACGGGGACTTGGTTTATGATGGGCCACCTCAAGGTTACTCTATTCCGGTCAAGGACATTCAAGGTCATGTCATCAAGCTCCAGGAAGAGAATCAGTTTGCTAATGACTACCAGGTCTGTACTCATAAAATTTTATAGCTGGGTTATAATACACATTTGTAACTTTTGTTATATTTCATGTTTTCTTTGATTTTTAAATGAACATAAAAGATAGAGAGTAGAGTTACTTTCAAATTACAGTGTACCTGTACGTAAAATAATATTTAAGAACTGATAAGTTGTAAAATAGAAGTCTGTCTGTTTGTCTATAGCTTATATTTTGACAAAGTTTTATGGAATACTCCCATAATTAAATACAAAAAGTGATGATAAGTTTTGTTTTATTTAGGACTTGCCAGATGGAATGTTTCTACCCACAAAAGATAGCAAACTGGAGGAAAACATGCCCAAAAATAGATACACAAACATGCTGGCATGTGAGTAGTCTTTCATTGCTTGTTAATCTGTCTTCTAATTTGGTATTTGTGAAGAAAACATATATTTTACCGGCTCCATGTGCGCTTGGTAAAACTCAATTTGCAACCATTAAATCAGAATTAATGGCTGCAAGTACAAAATAAGAAAATACTTACTGCCTAGTTTATAATGTTTCAAAAATTGTTCTTCCACATCATGAATCTAAGTCATCTGATCGACAACTTTTCCTTTGTAGACGATCACTCGCGGGTTAAATTACGAGGTTTACCTGCAGGACACACCGATTATATCAACGCTAATTATATAGATGTAAGTACATTATTAACTAGAGTGAAAATGTGATGAATGCCTATCAATCATATTTAAAGTGTTTAGGTTTCTGTCATCTGTCTGTGAATAAAAAAAAACTATTCTTACTGTTTTGGTTTGAATAAAATGCATAATTCTGTTCTTAATGAACGATTTTTTAAGTAAATATGCAACTTTTTTCTACAAGTTCAAACCCAGTAGAGTTAACAATCTCATCAAAGACCTCAGATTTAATATATGTCTATTTCTAACTACAGGGTTTTAAGAAAAAGAAGGCATATATTGCAACACAAGGTATGTATGTTCCATGTAATGCTGTTACAATGAGAAACAATTTTGTTTAGCTGTAAGGTGTCTGGCATCAATTTGTCTTTTAACAATTTTTCAAAAAAATTATTCCTCCTACATTTTTTTTTGGCAATTTTGATAAGATTTGGTACAAAAGTAGACCTGGTGCAGATAACAATGTACAACCTAAATGCTATATTCATCAGAGGAGTTTTGTTTCCTTCTGCGTGTAATTTAGTGAATATTAAATTATCAGGTCCTTTGAAGACTACTACAGCAGATTTCTCTCTCTCTCTCTCTCTCTCTCTCTCTCTCTCTCTCTCTCTCTCTTTTTGGAGTATGGTCTGGCAAGAAGATGTCAAAAAAATTGTCATGGTAACAAACCTCAAAGAAAAGAATAGGGTAAGTACCGGTATAAAACCTAACAATTTACATAAAACTCATTTATGTACATGAAATTGGAATGTAATTAAATATATTCAGATAGAAAGCAATTTTCAGTATTATAAAAGATATGAACTCATTCATATCCTTTCGATAATTCATAAGTTTTTATTGAAATAAAATGACTTCATTAAGAGCATATATTTTGACATGTCTTAATGTTTTGTCTAACTGATCCTCCCTGTCTGTTTTGTTTATAGCTTAAATGTCACCAGTACTGGCCACAAGAAAAGAAAGCCATGAACTGCTACGACAAGTTGAGGGTCGTCACAGATTCTGAAAATGTGTTCCCTGTATTTGTAGTCAGGAAAATCAAGCTCACTGATATAAAGGTAAGGCCCTATACAAGGAAAATTTATAGATAAAAAGGTTAGAATCTGCAGCTGATATGAATAAAGTAGTATTGAAGAAAAGATATGGTTTAAATGTGTAGAGTTTGGATGTTTTTATGTACATACTATTATGTATTTATATTAAATATAACCTTAAACTTCCCTTTAGTTGTCTAAGACATTGTGATTGCTAACCATAAGGGCTTATGGACCTCTTGTAATTTATATATTGAAATGTAAAAGAAGTCTGTTGATTTAGTAACACGTGGACTGTTTACATTCACAACACTTCCTTCTGGTTATATCAACAGATGCTTGATCTGTGTTATTGTTTCTCAGCAGAGTTTCCTGCTATAAGCTATTTGTATTACAAGGAAGACTATTTTTATTTTCTCATTGATAAGTTTACATACTGTTTTTATGTTTTGGAACTACAAAACCTCTGTCATGAACATAATTTATTGAAAAAAATTCAGTAACTTTTCTGAATTAAAATTAGTGAAATAGAACAGAAAAATATTATTTCCTTAAGACATTAAAGACTTAGTTACTCTATATAATTTGAATATTTATGAGTTGGTTACATGTACTCTAAAAATACAATACTAGTACCTTTTAGTTGAATTGTATAGATATACTGATTTTTCTTCTATAAACCAAATTTAAAAAATGATATAAACATTTGGTGTATATATTTGTAATTTAAATTAACCACAATACCTGATAGCCTTGACCTTTTAATATCTGATGGCCTTGACTTTACACACTAATATTCACCTTTTGATTTTTTCAGACTGATGAGAGTAGGGTAGTGACTCAGTACCACTTTACGGCGTGGCCGGACTATTTTTATATTTTATTCTATTTTTTCAGACTGATGAGAGTAGGGTAGTGACTCAGTTCCACTTTACCGCGTGGCCGGATCACGGCGTTCCCGATGCCTTCCAGCTTCTACAGTTTTTCCGTAAGGTCACGGGAAACAGCACGGAGTATGAACCTCGACCCACTGTGGTTCACTGCAGGTCAGCTAAAAATTAATGGAATTGTGTAATGCTAGAAGAACAACTTTGATAAATATGTAAATTCAGGTTGACTATTGTAGTAACAAAGAATTATATTCCATCAAATGATATAGTGTTGAATACTGGACAAAGTATTGGACAATGTATTCCAATGATAGACATTGAGGTTAAGCTTTTTTGGTACTGTAGATCACTAAATTTTCACAACACCTTATTTTAGAGAGACAGACATTGACTCTTTGTTAGCGAGACAAATTGTTGTTATTTCTTCATTTAATCGTATACGCAAGAATGAAATTTTTCGCAAGCTCATTGTCTCACATAATTGCGCTTAAATAAAGTTCTCACGAATGAAAAGTGATTTACAGTATTTTGCAAATCTCATCTCAAAAAATCATCTCAAACTTTGAGATGTAAATGGAGGAACATGTGACATTTAGTTTCTGTTTAAATCACTGATGTTTGTTACAGTGCGGGGGTAGGAAGAACGGGTACGTATATAGGACTTGACGCCTTGTGGAAACAGGGACGTAAAACTGGCTCTATTGATATCCTCCGCTTCGCCAAAACGATGAGGAAAAACAGGACAAAGATGATCCAGACTCTGGTAGGTTGTCAGTTGGAGTCGACGTTTTCAAATAAAGTCGAGACTGCTATGAGTTTCTATAATGATAAACTTGGATCAAGTTTTATTGCAATTTAATGATGAGAAGACTAGTTATTATTTTTAAACATGATTCTGCAGCTGAAGGTGCTAAAACTTGTAGAATAAGAAATCTTTGTTTTTTTGTAATGAAATACCACAAAAAGATTGTATCAGATGTCAATGTGCCAGCTTTGTCAAGCTAATTATACCTCTTCTTCTGTTTTAGGATCAGTTCACTTTCCTACATTTCATTTTAATGGAGGCTTTTGCTAATCCTGATGCAGCAATATCAGGAGAAATGGTTGCCAAATTCAAAGGAATTAAAGATCCTAAAGTAGTCCAAAGAATTAATACAGAATTTGAGGTACTAAGAGAAAAACATAATTCTGATTATATGTTAATTACAGAAATGTAGTGATAAGAAATATTAAGTCATACAGTTATACTATTGATATGCTTTGTTTAGAAATTGAACACGCTGCGACCTGAATACCAGATGACAGACTACCAAGATGCCCTTCATCCCAAAAATCAGTCTAAAAATAGGTCTCAGGATAATCTCCCAGGTAAGTTAGCTTGTACATTGTAGAAGTGGTAAATTCTACAATACATTGTTAGAGTAAAGAAATGTTAAGTTATTTCCAAGAGTTGAGGAGACTATTACTAATTTGCCATTTATTTTCAAGAAAAACAGTTTCCTTATCTTCTTTGCTAATTTACACATACAAGAAACTGTTCATTGACAAATGAATGTAAATATGTGTGCATGGATTAGTATTTGAAAAACAATTTTTTTTTTTTTAATTATGAATGTTTTATTTTTCAGTTGATAATTACCGAGTTCGTTTAGAATCTACTTATGGAGAGGATGATTATATCAATGCTGTGATATTGCCCGTGAGTTTACCCTAATATTCAATCAGATATAAAGTATATATATGTTCATGTTTATGGGTTATAACCTTTGGGCATCACTGAAGGTCTCGCATGAGAAACCCCCCATAAAAAGTTCTGACTTATGTTGATCATACTGGGTATAGGCCTAACTTTGAACTTTGTGGCCTTTATATGCTTTTATATTAAGATTTCTCTGAAAATAGGGCAAGTGCTTTAATGTTTAATTTATTATGAAATTTCATTATCTAAAACAATTTATGATTAAACTTTGTAATCTAAAACCAAACATTTTTGATGAACAATATCTGTAAGATGTTTTATTGAGAGACTTGCTGACTTGTATATTTCAGACGAGTTGGAACCGGGAAGGATTCCTGATCACTCAGTATCCCCTGCCCTCTACCATAGCAGACTTCTGGACAATGGTCTATAATTATGAGTGTTCTTCTATTGTTCTACTGGATGAAGAGGTATGTTGTATCATTGGGTATATATTGGGAAATTTATAATAAACAAATACAGTCAAACCTCATTATCTCGATCTGGATGGGACCAAGAAAAAAACTTCGAGATATCAGAGGATTTGAGATATCCAGTGTAAAATACTTAAAGCATAAGTAATAATAATAATAACTTTGACATATCCACTGGTTCGAGATATCAGTGTTTGAGATACAGAAGTTCAACTGTATTATGATGAACAGGAAGGTCGTATTATGGCTTGGACGAGCATTATGACCTGTTGGCCTCAGGTTTTATGAGACTGTCATACATGCCAACTTTCCCGATTTAGGCGGGATTCTCCCGATTTTACCCTTTCATCCCGCCTTCCCGATCGGGAGAGAAAAATTGACCTAATTTCCCGATTTGTAAAAAATCACCCAAAATTTCCGATTTTATAAGTTTCCCTATACCGCTGAATTTTGTCAATTGGGATAACAATATCAGACTTGTTTATTCAATGCACACAGATAAGTTTCATTGTTTATTTAGGTGTTAACATGGTTAATTAGCCACAGGAAATCACTTCACGCTTGAACGCACGGAGTCGTCCAGGTGCAGGTGGCTTATAGCATGGGGCAATTAGGTCCTAATTAGGGGATTATCTTTTCAGTTTTAAGGGGTACGCAAGGTGAAACACATAGATTAAGGGGATAATTGTTTGTGAAAACATAAATTAAAGACAACTAAATAATAACCAAACCATAAAATCGGAACCAAGGAGATCACAAAAACGAAAGTAGAAAACTACAAAGCATAGCTGCTGACTTTATCTACCTTTAATGCAAAAATATTTTAAAGTTTGCCAGTTAAAATAATATGAAAAAATTCTGATGAAACAATAAAGTCTATGTCAATTAGAATTTCTGGACACTTTCTCCCAAAAGTAATTATAATATTTTATGCATATGTGACTAAGAAATACCCACATAGCACCATCAAGCCTGCCAAAGTTCAAGAATGTAAAAAAAATAAATTTCTTTGAGATAGGTGGTATCTTTATGTTAGAAAATTGATGATTTAATTCTTCAAAACCGATGATTTATTTCTTTGAATAAAAGATAAGTGCATTGCAATTTCTCAAAATTTCTTTAAATTTAATATCTGATTAGAATTTCTAAATAATTGAAATATAAAAATCTCATAAATGTTCCCAGAAACAGTACTTTACAGTATCAAAAGTTGTACAATTGTCAATTTTTCACCAAATTATGTGTCCTAGCTGGTAAAAAAAAAGTTTACATATGTAACTAATTTATAATCCCTTCTTTAGTGAGAGAGGCACCTATCTGAGCAAAAATATTTCCATTTTGGAAAGAAAAACCTTATTCTTGTGTTATTTTTATCCTTTAGTAGTATTAATAAGTGATATTAATTATATTATAAATTTAAAAAAAGGATCATGTCATAATCATTTAATTTCACGACAAAATGTCGCGAATTTAAAGCTTATGAAAAATGTCGTCACGCGCAAAATCCCCCATGGGAATTTTCAAAAGTTGGCATGTATGGACTGTGTATTTATTGCAGGACTATGAGGAGTGTTTCTTCCCAGCTCTGGAGCAGACGTCAGAATGGGGTCGTCTGGTGCTACAGACGACGGAGGTGTCCGAACCTCAGGACTGTGTGACTGAGCTCACAGTGAACCTCACAAACACGGTATGTATAGCTACATCATCGTAATATAGGTATGATACATATAATTAAAGACTCATGAACACAGACTACTGAATATCTGAAACATTTCAATACTGAACACATTTTTACTGAAGATTTTTTTAAGTGAGCTTTAATGCAAGAAAAATGTTAGACAAATCTTTATTGAAAATGAAAATATGTCTTGGCACAGGTTATTTCTCTGAAAAAGTGAAATTTCCAATTCTGTATTTACACTCATGGTAGACTGAGTTTGAGTTGTTATAATATTGAGAGTGAACATCTACATTTATAGCAAAATGCCATTGACAATGACGAGGTAAGGAGGCAGCATATGTATACATGCCAGGTTAAATCTTGAACCATTAAGCAATCATATTCTCTGAAATATATTCTTTCACTAGCTGCCATAGTTTTCTTTTTGTGGGACAAGGAATTTACCATGCACCTAATTAGTGGGGCATTTCTTTGCTTATTATTTGCACAGCATACTCAAATATTTTGTATTTTGTTTACACTGTATTGCATAGCTTAGTTCTAATAACATGTAGTATTGTGAATATATTACATAGTAAAAGAAGAGTCCAATGTGTAACAAGTACAGAAGTAAAACACTTACCGTATAAGTAGAATTTTTGTGATTTAATTTTGGCATTATTAGCGTAATGCTAAAATTGAATATCGCTAAAAATTAATTGATATTTATTTGTTATGACTTCTTTAACATTCATTTCAAAATCGCCAAAATAACACTTCGCTAAAAATAAATACCGTATAAGTGGAAATTTTAGCGAGACGCAAATTTAGCGATTTCTACCTGAAATCTGGTATTTTATTTTTAGCGAGAAAGTAATTTTGGCGATTTTAAAGTGCTAACTAAAGAAGCTATTACAAATAATACGCAATTAATTTTTAGCGATATTCAATTTTAGCGATGTCAGCACCCTCGCTAATAATGCCAAAGTTAAATCCTCGCTAAAAATTCTACTTATACGGTAACCAGTTTTTCAGGACAAATCGCTAAATTTGCAACTCGCTAAAATTTCCACTTATACGGTATAACAAAGTTTCGGGGACAGGGGATTTTGCTTTGTTATAAGTGTAATTTGTTATATCCATAACTTTACAACACATTTTAAAGTCATTTGTAAAGAAATCACTTCAATATAAGCGTTAATTCATTATAAACATATTTGCTATAAGTGTGTTTCACTGTATTAATTTTGGTTCAATCATGATATATTGATAATTAAGTTTAATGCTAATAAAGACACATTTGCTTTGATTTATATGCTTATGTGGGGATCATGAAAAAGCACAATCAATTAATAGCTGATATGTGAATTTTTTAAAATATGAACACATCATTAGTTTCCTAATTGATCTTGAAAAATGTGAAATTTTGTTGACTTTGCATTTTAAATTATAATATCCAAAATTTAAATTCATCAATTAATTTGCTTCCTTAATTGTTAATTGATGGCTTGTAAATGTTTATGTAGAGTTTGTCTTGTACACAGGATATAGAGAACGAGATGGAGTTGGAGGTTAAAATATTCGTGGGCAGCGGTTGGAAGGCGACCAGTGAACTTCCTGAAGCTCAGAAACTGCTGCACTGCTTACATTACGAAGTTCAGAAGCGCCAGACCCAGCTAGGTGAACAGAAACCTGTGGTCGTCATATGCAGGTCTCAGATTTCTTAGGATTTTGAAACAAAAAAACAAAAATTTTGTAAACAGTGTGGAAATTTTAAAATATCAGTGTATTAGCTGCTATCTGAATTCTTTAAACTTCTGTGAATGTATATTAAATGTACTGGGCTGTAGGAAATAAAACTTTAAAAAATTATTGAAAGCTCTATAATGTTTATACCTCATGGAAAAGTTAATTATCTTTTTAAACTTTGATTCTAGGAATGGAGCTACACAGAGTGGTCTTTACTGTGCTGTGTGTAACATTCTGGATGGAATAGATTGGTACAATGAAGTAAACATTTATCACAGTGTACGACAGCTTCAGATACGAAAGCCAGAAATCATAAGGTCAAAGGTTGGTACAATAAAGTTCTTATGAAATAATTATGTGCTAATAGTGGTCTTTTTTATTCAAGTGACCTTTATGGCCCATGGGTCTCTAGATATGGTTTAAAATGATGTCTTTTCACAATTTTATAGAAATCTGTAAAACTTTTTTTTTACTAAGTGAGAACAGTATGGATAGATAATCCTTATTTTCTCCCTCTACAGACTCAGTACCAGTATTGTTACCAGGTGGCGCTTAACTACCTGAATCCCGGTGATATTTCTAATTATGGTTTAAAATGATGTCTCTCCACAGTTTTATAAAAATCTCTGTTATTACTGTCATTGTACAGAACAAGAAAACTTGTATGAAATTCAATGGATGTAAAAGAATACTTCCATCTTTTAACAAATCAACAATAGTCTAAATACTTTGAAACCAAGATATTGCTTATTTACTCTACAGGGTCACTTTTGAAGTAATGTTGAAATTATTCACATGTATATTCAAAGAAAATTACCACAAATAAGCCAAAGTGTGATTTTTAGTTCAACTGAGCTATAGGGGTGTACAATTAGCATCGCCCGACACCAGGGGCTACCAATTTATAGGGTTGGGCTAATGTTTTTAGCTCACCTGAGCCGAAGGCTCAAGTGAGCTTTTCTGATCAAAATTTGTCCGTCGTCTGTCGTTGTCGTCGTCGTTGTTGTTGTCAACGTTGTAAACTTTTCACATTTTAAATATCCTCAAAAACCACTGCCAATTTACAAACTTGGCAAAGTCACTACTGAAGGGGTATTTTCACTGAAGGGCCATGCCCTTTTTTTGCTATGAAATATTTTGTTAAAAATTAATGGCATTTTTAAAAAATCTTCTTCTAGAACATCACTGGGCCAGGAAAGATGAAACTCAAAAAAGTAGTGTGAAAAAGTATATATCATGCACTTTGGCTAATGGTTGCACCATCAACAGTTTTATAGGAATATATAGGAAAAATCTTTAAAAATCTTCCTCGAGAACCACTGGGAGAGAGAGATATACTCATTTGGAATCACCCTCAGGTAGTGTAGATTCAAGTTTGTCTGTGTCTGTCTGTAACAAAATGGCCGACCCAAGTTTTACATAGGAATATATAGGAAAAAGGTTAAAAATTTTAACACAATGAAACTTCTGTGGAAGCATGCCTAGGTAGTGTAGATTCAAGTTTGTTCAAAATCTGATGTCAACTTTCTGAATATATAGGAAAAATCTTTAAAAATCTTCTTCTCCAGAACCATTGCCAGGAAAGGTAACAAATTTTTGTCACAGTTTTCTCATGACCCCCGGGGCAAGGGTGGGGCCAAAATTGAAGTTTTACAAGGAATATATGAAAAATTTTAAAAATCTTCTTCTCCAGAACCACCGGGCCAGGAAAGATGAAACTCATGTGGAATCATCCTCAGGTAGTGTAGATTCAAGTTTGTTCAAATCATGACCCCCGGGGCTAGGGTGGGGCCAAAATGGACGACCCAAGTTTTACATAGGGATATATAGGGAAACCTTTTAAAATCTTCTTTTCAAGTACTTCAAAGCTATGATTAGTGATATTTATATGGAATCATTTTGTAGATTCAATTTCTTCAAATGATGCATGCCTGGATATGGGGGGATACATTTTTGGTCAAGCCCGATGTGCTCAGGTGAGCGCTGTGGCCCCTGGGCCTCTTGTTTGCATTGGGGTAGTCCTTTGGGCTTGTAAAAATTAAAAATACCAATGTAATACATGAAAATCTCTACAAATATTTTCACTCATTTTTTGCTATTATTAAATACTTTACTAAATATAACCTGGCTTGAAGAGACTAGTCTAGATAAATTTTATAAAAATAGTACACTGATAAAAGTATCTGCTCTAGATGTAATGGTTGCACTGGCAACATATTAGGGGATAATCATATATGTAAGCATCCACAGGTAATGATTCACGTTGTATGAATCAAGTATGGGAATATATTTGGAAAAAAAAAAACTTGAAAAACTTTCTGCTCAAAAAACAGTTGGTCTATGTTTAGTAATTAATGTTAAATTGAGAACATCCTTAGGTAGTAGTGCAGATTCAAGTTTATTAAAAATGTGGCCCCTAAAAGTACAATAGGGCAGAAATACACTCTGTAAAGTCTTGAATAGGAATATCAGGGGCATATAGAAAAATAAATTTTAAAATCTTCTATAGATCAGCAAGGCTATGATTAGCAATTTGATAGGGAATCATGAATTAAAGTGTAATTACTTGTGTGACCAATATTTCTAATTTTAAACAGGTCAAAGTAGTAACCAGGGACCTAGTGAAATATATTCCAATGTAGGAGCTGTGAGTAAATCATCAGGTGATCCTTTTGATGACGAGCCACAGACCACCATTTAAACCTCCCTCTTCTGAAGAGCTTCATACTACTCCAGGAGGATAGAAGAGTTTCCACAACAGAAAAATGTTCAATAAATGACTGCTCTTTTCCTCTGTGCAAAGATAATGATAGAGGGTTTGGCAGAAACAGGAAACATGTTGATATTCAACACCAGACTACCTTTCTATATGTACATGCCAAATTGATACTTCAGAAGTGGGCATGATCATTCCTCATTGGAATTAGAATTTCTGAATTCATTTATATTTGACTATTTATTACATTCCCACCAGAGTCACGTATTTTATTATAGATAATATAACTAATTATGATGTAACCTTTTAATGCCTTTTATTTAAATGACTCCATTTCGACAAGGAATTAATGACTAGGGAATTTTTAAGAATAGGTGCAGAGCTCTCTTTATATTTTGTTTTTAAGTGCGATTTCTGTATGTGTTTGTTCATATAATAATAACTGCAGCAAAAGTAAAAGTCAACAGACCAAAGATTTAGCAATGATTGTGTGCAATAATGTATTTTCATTGATGGCTTTAAGACAATTTACTTTTCAAAACCTGTCTCAAATGTAATACATGCATGTACATTTTATAAATATGCAATACTTTTTGAGTGCAATATTTAGATAACAGGTACAGTTCATTTATATATAGATCATAATTAATATGCTTAGTAATTATGATTGTATAAAAATAAGAAATCCTTTACCACAATTATATATATTGGCATTTACAAATTATTTTATGTGATGTTATTGGTTCTGTTATTTTACATTTTATGTATAACTAAGTAATGCTTATTTTGTCTTTTATTGTGCCAATGCCCATTTGTTTATGTTAACTATACTTTTCTATGATAAATCTTGCGTATGTTATTTGTGTCTTGGTTCTTAAATTTGGATTTAGAACTACTCTCACGGATACAGTTGTGTTCTCAGGGAGACACAATACAGTTATCAGGGATGCAATAGTGTAGTCAAGGATACAATACTGTTGTCAGGGATACAGCAGTGTTGTCAGGGAAACAGTGTTGTCATGGATACAGTACTGTTGTAAGGAATAAAATGGCATTGTCAGGGATACAATAATGTTTAAGGGATACAGTAGTGTTGTCAGGGAAACCATAATGTTGTCAGGGGTACAGTGATGTTGTCATGGATAATAATGTTATCAGAGATAAAAAAAAAAGTATTGTCATGGATACAATGGTGTCGATGATACAAAAGTTTTGTCAAGTGTACAAGTGTTGTTATCAAGGATACAATAATGTTGTCAAGGATACAATGGTATGTGTTGTCAATGAAAAAATATGATTGTCAAGGATATGGTACAATAGTGTTGTCAGGAATACAGTAGTATTGTCAATTATACAAGTGTTGTTATCAAGGATAAAAATCATTGTCAATGATACAATAGTTTTATGAAGGATACAGTAGTATTGTTTTCAAGTTGTCAGGTATACAATAGTATTGTCAAGTATACAAGTGTTGTTATCAAGGATACAAAAGTGTTGTCAAGGATACTGTAGTGTTGTCAAGGGTTCAATAGTGTCGAGGATCTGTTAGTGTTGTCATGGATACAGTAGTATTGTTGAGGATACAGTAGTACTGTTCAGGATAGGATAGTGTGTCATGGATACAATACAGTTGTTGAGGATACAATAGTTTTGTCAAGTATACAAGTGTTGTTGTCAGGGATAAAATAGTGTTTTAGGTATATATTTATGTTTCCAGGGGTATGGCCTACAATAGATATGGAAAATAGAGTAAAATTTTTAATAGATGAAGGTTGTGTTGAAAAAGATATACTATTTTTGAAAAGTTGGACAGTGTATTTATGTAGATCAGTTTTTTGGGCCCAAATCGGTCAAATCTGTCATCTGAAGGAAGCCGTTTTGTGTGCAACATTATAAAAATCATCCATGCAAGTATGCTCAATATTATATAATGGACTCTTTTGGCGTTGGATATGGTTGGTTTGAACATACAATAAAATATGTTCAAACCAAATATCCAAGAAACGCACATAATTGTTTTATCTAGTTCAGATTTGAATAGATGAGACATTGAAGGCCACATAACGACACTAGTTTCATTTACGAACTACCGTCATTGAAAAATAAAAAAAATGTCCAGATTACAGTTTGTAACCTCCTTGCTTTCCTTTCAGAGTTTTGCTATGTGTAAGATGTCGTTTAAAAATAATCCTGTGATGGGTTTGTCCAACATTTTTTCCTGCTCAGATACATAGCTGTGCTGCCGCCATTGCAACCATTGTTTATGTTGTTTGAGGTGTTGATTGTGACGTCACAATGCCACTGCACGTGCAATGAACCTGCGGTGAATACGGCCTCAAATCTGGAGAATATGTAGCATTAAAAACTGTTTGTGTTTGTATAGATTAACTCTGAGATGAAACTTGCTCCAAAAGCATTAACTTGGTGATTTTTTAAAATACAGCATCTGAAACCTGTAATGGTATATAACTATTGTCCATACATTTCTGATCAATATAGGAATTAGAAATCCTTGAAAAGAAATCTGCTCCAAAAACTTAAATATGGTTGAGGGTATTACATAAGCTGAGGCCCTTTGTTCCACCAGGAACCAAAAAGAACCATGATTACATACATAAGCTCCCTTAACTTCACTGAGGTTAGCCAAGTATCAATGGTGTAAGTAAAATTGAACTCGTAAATCATTTAGCACTTGATAAGAAGATACACTGTACTTGAAAAACAATCCATCCATTGAGGGATAATTATCTTGCTAAATAGTTTCAATAAAGGGGGAATATTTTTAAAAGGTGGAGATACTATCTGTTTTTCCTGTTTACATTTTATTGTGTTTAAACGATATAAACAAATGAAAATAACATTACAAAAAACAAAAAACTTCTGGTTTAGTCTAGTGTGTTCAATTTGAAGTCCATTTGGACTTGTAAACTTTCCCTGTTCTTTTCCCCTCTTTCTTTACTGAGGAACTGAAATACAGTATTTAAAACACATTTATAGCAATGTCACAGGTATAAAAAATACTGATTTAATATTAAAAAATTTGTTATTTCCATAAAGATATAATCTGCTTTAAAAACCACAGGCAATGAAAACACTTTGTTATAATTGTGAATTCAATATACATGCGTTCACTATAACCATGTTTTACTGTAAGAGGAAAGATAAAACTTCAGTGAACTCCTCCAAATTAACTTTATTCAAAACACATACAACAATGTTGATCATGCTGTCTTTTAGAGTTACAGGTATAAAGTCATAAAGTCACTTGTGTATGACATGATTTCATACTATACTTAACTATCATGACAATTTCCTACAATAAATCTTGTATACAAATATTTTGTCCCATACAAAAAACAAGATATGTTAAAATAAAAAAAAAGATTAAACTGCAACTCTTGGATTCAGTAGAGATTCTGAAAGCTAGACTACAGGAAGATAGGACTAAAATATGCATAATTTCTTTGTAAAAGAGCATTGTAAACACAAGAACGGAAGAGAAGCTTTGTATGACTTTATGAATTAATTCACAACCATTTCACTTTAAAATTCATTATTAAACTACTGCCTAAATGTAATTTTACATTCCCCATTTTATGATATGAATAATAAAGAAACTTGAGCAGTTTTAAGATTATTACTTACACATGCAGTAAAAAAATGCATTTTATGGTACAGAATATAAAATACAAGAGGCCCAAGGGCCTTAGAGGTCACCTGAGTATTGTGTAACAACTTTCAAACAATTAAATTTGATTCGTGTTTTAAGCCAGAGGCCATGAATTTCACAATTCACAATTTTGAAAGAGACACCATTGCTTATCATAATTATTAACTTAGCATGCTTACTCTATTTACTTAATACCCAGAGGTAGATCAGAGTAACAAAGAGAAAATGCACTTCCGCTTTATACCCAGTTGTGCACCTCATCCCAAAGGAACCACTGACCCAGGGGCCACATATTTCAAAATTTTGCAAATTTTATCATAAAATGGTTGATTAATACCAAAGAGCTGATTTCAAAGCATTAATTCAGGACTATTTCCCCCCCCCCCCATTTAAAATTGAGCCAGGGGGCATAAAAAACCACTTTGCTAGATGCACCTCTCTTCATCATAAATATATATACTTGGATCATTGGCATAAAACCCAGAAGCAAATGAAAATATTTTCAAAGAATAATGCATTTTCACTATATAATCAACAGAGCCCTACCCTAATACCAGAACTCCTGACCCTGGGGCCATAAAATTCACAATTTTAGAAGAAGCACTCTTGCTCATCATAACGATGTGCTTAGTTAGTTTAATACCCAGAAGCAGAGAAGAAGATTTTCAAAGAATAAATGCATTTTCACTACATTATATTCAATAGAGCCCCGCCTTAACACCAGAACCCCTGACCCTGGGGCCATAAAATTCACAAATCTGGAAGAGGCACTCTTGCTCATCATAACTATTTGCTTAGTTAGTTTATTTAATACCCAGGAGTAGAGAAGAAGATTTTCTGAGAAATAATGCATTTTCACTATATAATCTATATAGCCCCACCCTAGCACTAGAACCCCTGACCCTGGGGCTATGAATTTCACAATTTTGGTAGAGGACTCAATGCTCATTACATTCATGCCAACAGTTTGCCTGCTTGATGTCCAGGAGTAAAGAAGAAGATTTTTAAAGACTGCAATAATTTTAGTGGTTTTGGCCCCACCCCTCAGGCCCCAGGGGGGCAGGGACCATGAAATTCACAACTTTTTTCCCCTTCACCCATAGATGCTGTATACCAAATTTGGTTGAAATTGGTTCAATGGTTTAAGAGAAGAAGCTGAAAATGTTCAAATGTTAACACACGACGGACGACGACGGACAAAAACGGATAGCAATAGGTCTAATAGGTCACCTGAGTTACTCAGGTGACCTAAAAAGCTAGCTGTCATAAATTCTTGATTAAGTTTATTTAATGTTTATACCCTGGATGAACTGTGAACAAAGTATAAATTTTTTACTAATAATTGGTAAAAAAACATTTATCTGAATGTTTCACTGAAAATAAAAAAAGAGACACATGTACTCAATTTTCTTAAGCAAAACTAAAAAAAATAACAAAATATGGTCCATTTGTGATGACTTCAATTTCAGATTAGTACACAATATTGCACTTAGATTTGTTAGGCATAAGTAATGGATGCCGGGCTTTACAGACATCATTTGGCACCAATGGACTCAGTTACTTTTATACTTTTCTGCACACTGGTTCCTTAGATGTTTGTTGGTGACTTCATGGTACACCATCCATACAGAGGTATACCCCCTCTTCCCTCCGTCGCCCCCTTCCCCCGCCCCGTGGACGAAATATACCATTGGCACGCTCCTCATTCAGTTTCTGTTTGTGTGCTTCATATCTTTCTGCCATACTAGCCAGCTCATCTGGCACAATCTGTCAATGTTAAATGATAATATCTGTGACTTAAACAAACGTGAGCATCATCAAGTTAAAGCTACACTTGCACGTTTATCACTTACATTTCCTTCATGATAACTTATCACGATACTGTACGGGCTTGTTTACTGTGAATGAGTTTTATTTGTGAGAACTTAAATTTCATGTAATAAAATGAGACAGTGTGCTCACAAAATCACTCATGTATCAGTATTCCTAAAGATTATATAAACCAGTAACAACAATTCTTAAAATTTTGTCTCGCTAATTAAGAGTAAATGTCTAAGGTGACAGGATTAATTGGTGATCTATTGTACCTGATTTGCCTCCTCCAGTATCTCAATCAGGTGAGTGGCGGACCTCCAGTCTGAGCGCGTCAACAGAGAGATGGATTTACCCGTCTTACTGAAAATATAAAGTTTATCCAGTCAGTAACACAATCACAATCAATAGGGTCCTTCACTATAAATATTAAACCAAAGATCATTTGCTATTAGAAGATTATGTTGTGTAAATAAAGTTACAATATACTATTTTACACACATTATTAAAATAACAAGAGGCCCATGGGCCACATCGCTCACCTGAGAAGCTTTGACCATTCTGTTCTTTACCAGATTTCACCCTTATTATACATAATGCATCCCCACCCTACCCCACTGATCATAATTTAGACATTTTGAAATCTACACTACCCCATGATCCTTCCATGGGCACATATGTTTCAGCTTTTTTGGCCCAGTGGTTCCTGAGAAGAAGATTTTCAAAGATTTTTCCTATATATTTCTATGTAAAACTTTGATTCCCTATAATGGCCCCGTCCTTCCCCCGGGGGTCATGATTCCTACAATTTAGAATTTACACTACCCCAGAATGCTTCCACATAAGCTTCACTTTTTCTGGCCCAGTGGTTCTTGAGAAGAAAATTTTCAAAGATTTTTCCTATATATTTCTATCAGTGTTGTCAAATCGGTTGAAACTCAGAATCGATTAATCGGTAACATCGGTTGACCCTAACCGACTGATCATCGGCCAATAATCGAATCGGTAACCCTTTGCATAAAATAGGCATTAGAATTTATAACCAGAAGTCTCTGTCGAGACTGTAGCTCTACTGGTTTATACTTAAAACAAAGGATTAGAAATGTAGCAGTTGGGACTTGAAAATTTAAAACAGCAATAAAAAGAAAAATGATCCTTGCCAATCATCAAAATCAAAAACCGATGCACTATTTTATGTATCTTAGTATAGTCTACTTGTGTGCCAAGTTATATTGAAATTGGACCAAAACTGTAGGAGAAGTAGCATTTTGAAAGAATTTCACAGAAATTTCTACTTTTAGTAACCATGGCAACACCATTCATCAAAATCAAAAACCGATGCACAGAATAATGTATCTTAGTGTACTCTACTTGTGTGCCAAGTTATATTGAAATCGGAACAAAACTGTAGCATTTTAAAAGAATTTCACAGAAATTTCTATTTTTAGTAACAACAGCAACACCGTTCATCGAAATCAAAAACTGATGCACAGAATTATGTATCTAGGTGTTATCTATTTGTGTGCCAAGTTATATTGAAATCAGACCAAAACTGTAGGAGGAGTAGCATTTTGAAAGAATTTCACAGAAATTTCTATTTTTAGTAACCACGGCAACACCGTTCATCGAAATCAAAAACCGATGCACAGTATTATGTTTCTTTGTGTAGTCTACTTGTGTGCCAAGATATATTGAAATCAAACCATGACAGAAGGATGAGTACCGTTTTGAAAGAATTTCATAGAAATTTCTATTTTTAGTAACCATGGCAACACCGTTCATAGAAATCAAAAAGCGATGCACAGAATTATGTATCTTAGTATAGTTTACTTGTGTGCCAAGTTATACTGAAATCTAAACAAAACTGTAGGAGGAGTAGCATTTTGAAAGAATTTCAAAGAAATTTCTATTTTTAGTAACAACGGCAACACCGTTCATCGAAATCAAAAACTGATGCATAGAATTATGTATCTAGGTGTTATCTATTTGTGTGCCAAGTTATATTGAAATTGGACCAAAACTGTAGGAGGAGTAGCATTTTGAAAGAATTTCACAGAAATTTCTATTTTTAGTAACCACGGCAACACAGTTCATCGAAATCAAAAACAAGTGCACTATTCTATGTATCTTAGTGTAGTCTACTTGTGTGCCAAGTTATATTGAAATCAGACCAAAACTGTAGAAGGAGTAGCGTTTTAAAGGAATTTCACAAAAAATTCTATTTTTGGTAACCGTGGTAACACCGTTCATCGAAATCAAAAACCAATGCACAGAATTATGTATCTAGGTGTAATCTATCTGTGTGCCAAGTTATATTGAAATCTAAACAAAACTGTAGGAGGAGTAGCATTTTGAAAGAATTTCACAGAAATTTCTATTTTTAGTAACCACGGCAACACCGATCATCGAAATCAAAAACCAATGCACAGATTTATGTATCTTGGTATAGTCTACTTGTGTGCCAAGTTATACTGAAATCAGAACAAAACTGTAGGAGGAGTAGCATTTTGAAAGGATTTCAAAGAAATTTCTATTTTTAGTAACCACGGCAACACCGTTCATCGAAAGCAAAAACCGATGCACAGAATTATGTATCTAAGTGTAGTTTACCTTTGTGTCAAGTTATATTTAAATCGGAACAAAGCTGTAGAAGGAGTAGCATTTTGAAAGAATTTCACAGAAATTTCTATTTTTAGTTACCACGGCAACACCGTTCATTGAAATTAAAAACCGATGCAGAGAATTATGTATCTTGGTATAGTCTACTTGTATGTCAAGTTATATTGAAATTGGACCAAAACTGTAGGAGGAGTAGCATTTTGAAAAATTGTTTACAGACAGACAGACAGACGGACGGACGACGGACGCATGACTATCGCATAAGCTCTTCTGGTCTCTGACCAGTAGAGCTAAAAATTAGAATTTTATTGTTAAATAATGTAAGTAAAGGTGCATTGTACAGATCGGAATTCTAACAAGAGGCCCAGGGGCCACATCGCTCACCTGAGCAATTGGCTAGGAAAAAGCACAAATCAGATAAGAACGAAAGTTTACTGAGGGGGAGGGGCTTGAATTTTAACCCCCAGGGGGTCATGATTTGAACAAAATAGGATCTACACCACCTGAGGATGATTCCCTATAAATATCACTAAGCATGGCTTTGAAGTACTTGAAAAGAAGATTTTAAAAGGTTTCCCTTTATATTCCTATGTAAAACTTTTATTGGCCATTTGGCCCCACCCTACCCCCGGGGGTCATGATTTGAACAAACTTGAATCTACACTACCTGGGGATGATTCCACAGGAGTTTCATCTTTCCTGTCTCAATGGTTCTTGAGAAGATTTTTCCTATATATTCCTATGTAAAACTTCGATCAGCCATTTTGGCCCCACCCTACCCCTGGGGGTCATGATTTGAACAAACTTGAATCTACACAACCTGAGGATGATTCCACATGAGTTTCATCTTTCCTGGCCCAGTGGTTCTTGAGAAAAAGATTTTTAAAGATTTTTCCTATATATTCCCATGTAAAATGTTGATCGGCCATTTTGGCCCCACCCTACTCCTGGGGGTCATGATTTGAACAAACTTGAATCTACACTACCTGAGGATGCTTCCATATAAATATGATCATTTATGGCTTTGTTTTTCTTGAGGAGAAGATTTTTAAAGATTTTTCCTATATATTCCTATGTAAAACTTTGATCGGCCATTTTGGCCCCACCCTACCCCCGGGGGTCATGATTTGAACAAATTTGAATCTACACTACCTGAGGATGATGCCACATGAGTTTCACTTTTTCCTGGCCCAGTGGTTCTGGAGAAGAAGATTTTTAAAGATTTTTCCTATATATTCCTATGTAAAACTTTGAACGGCCATTTTGGCCCCACCCTACCCCTGGGGGTCATGATTTGAACAAACTTGAATCTACACTACCTGAGGATGATGCCACATGAGTTTCATCTTTCGTGGCCCAGTGGTTCTTGAGAAGAAGATTTTTAAAGATTTTCCCCCATATATTCCTATGTAAAACTTTGATCGGCCATTTTGGCCCCACCCTAACCCTGGGGGTCATGATTTGAACAAAATTGAATCTACACTACCTGAGGATGATTCCACACGAGTCTCATCTTTCCTGGCCCAGTGGTTCTTGAGAAGAAGATTTTTTAAAAATGCCATTAATTTTTCTCTAATTCATAATTATCTCCCCTTGGAAAAGGGCTTGGCCCTTCATTTGAACAAACTTGAATCCCCTTTACCCAAGGATACTTTGTAGCAAGTTTGGTTGAAATTGGCCCAGCGGTTTTTGAGAAGAAGATGAAAATGTGAAAAGTTTACAACAACGACAACAACGACGACGACGACAACGACAACAACAGATAACGGACAGATTTTGATCAGAAAAGCTCACTTGAGCCTTTGGCTCAGGTGAGCTAAAAACAGTATATATGCAGTTTGATTAACGATTTCAGTAATACAGATTTTTGCATGATTAGGAATTACTTGGCCTGGGAAAAGTAAGCATTGACAGATCAGGTTTTAATTTACATGATCATCTAAAATGGATATGGAATTAATTTTTTTAAATTGTTAGAAGACATTTAATATTGCAAATTCCTTGTGATTCCGTATGAAATGACAGGTGAATTCCCCCAAATACTGAAAATTAATATATTTTATTTGAACAAGTAGATCAGATTCTTCAGTTTAGAAATACAAATATCGCGCAATCATTATCTTTTGATTTATTTTAAACAGATTTTAAGTACATGTATTCTAAAATAGTAAAGGACAACTGTTGAAAGATATATACTTTGATAACAAGAGCCTGTTCTTGAAATAAAAGTGAGAAAACTGTAAAAAAGATATGTGCTGAAATATACTGATTAATCGATTGTTAAAATCTCCAATCGATTGTCTAAAATCGACAGTCATTCCGACCGATCATCGATTATAAATCGATCATCGTGACAACACTAATTTCTATATAAAACTTTGATTCCCCATTGTGGCCCCGCCCTTCCCCCGAGTGTCATTATTTGAACAAATTTAGAATCTACATTATACCATGATGCTTTCACATAAGTTTCAGCTTTTCTGGCCCAGTGGTTCTTGAGAAGAAGATTTTCAAAGATTTTTCCTATATATTTCTATGTAAAATTTGGATTCCCTCATTGTGGCCCCGCCCTTCCCCTGGGGGTCATGATTTGAACAATTTAGAATCTACACTATACCAGGATGCTTCCACATAAGTTTCAGCTTTTCTGGCCCAGTGGTTCTTGAGAAGAAGATTTTCAAAGATTTTTCCTATATATTTCTATGTAAAACTTTGATTCCCCATTGTGGCCCTGCCCTTCCCCCGGGGGTCATGATTTGAACAATTTAGAATCTACACTATACCAGGATGCTTCCATATAAGTTTCAGCTTTTCTGGCCCAGTGGTTCTTGAGAAGAAGATTTTCAAAGATTTTTCCTATATATTTCTATGTAAAACTTTGATTCCCCATTGTGGCCCCGCCCTTCCCCCGGGGGTCATGATTTGAACAAATTAGAATCTACACTACCCCAGGATGCTTCCACATAAGTTTCAGCTTTACTGGCCCAGTGGTTCTTGAGAAGAAGATTTTTTAATGACCCCACCCTATTTTTGTCTTTTCTTGATTATCTCCCCTTGCGAGGGGATATGTCCCTTCATTTTAACAATTTAAATTTCCCTTTACCCAAGGATGCTTTGTACCAAGTTTGGTCAAAATTGGCCCAGTGGTTCTTGAGAAGAAGTCGAAAATGTGAAAAGTTTACAGACGGACGGACGGACAGACAGACAGACGGACGGACGACGGACAAAATGTGATCAGAAAAGCTCACTTGAGCCTTCGGCTCAGGTGAGCTAAAAAATTGCCACGCCACAGCATGATACGCCCGTCAAAAAATTACAATTTTCTTGAACAGTTTAGCGTGCAAGAAAATCAGGTCAACCTTGATTCTAAGATTTCCATGATTTTTCCATTCCTGAAAATATTTATCCATCCCCTGTGTAGGCATTAATTATAACTAGAACTGTCCAAACGGGACAAAATACCCCCCGCTGGGTTTTTCAGAAGTAAGTTTTTCCATAATAAAGATATGTATCAAAAACAAATTATGAAATTTTTCTTCCAGTGACCTTAAACTTCCCCAAATAACCTTGGGTCAAGGTCATGACACACCCTTGGGTATGGGCAATCTTTCAGTGAAATGAGAACCTACCAAGTTTATCCATAAGAAAGATATGGACCGGACACGAATTATGAAATTTTTCTTCCAGTGACCTTGAACTTCCCCAATTGACCTTGGGTCAAGGTCATGACACACCCTTGGGTCATGGGCAATCTTTGTGTGAAATAAAAACCTACCAAGTTTATCCATAAGAAAGATATGGACCGGACACGAATTATGAAATTTTTCTTCCAGTGACCTTGAACTTCCCCAAATGACCTTGGGTCAAGGTCATGACACACCCTTGGGTCATGGGCAATCTTTGTGTGAAATAAAAACCTACCAAAGTTATCCATAAGAAAGATATGGACCGGACACAAATTATGAAATTTTTCTACCAGTGACCTTGAACTTCCCCAAATGACCTTGGGTCAAGGTCATGACACACCCTTGGGTCATGGGCAATCTTTGTGTGAAATAAGAACCTACCAAGTTTATCTATAAAAGATATGTATCAAACATGATTTATGAAAATTTTCTTCCAGTGACCTTGAACTTTCCCAAATGACCTTGGGTCAAGGTCATGACACACCCTTGGGTCATGGGCAATCTTTGTGTGAAATGAGAACCTACCAAGTTTATCCATAAGAAAGATATGGACCGGACACGAATTATGAAATTTTTCTTCGTGACCTTGAACTTCCCGAATGACCTTGTGTCAAGGTCATGACACACCCTTAGGTCATGAGCAATCTTAGTGTGGAGTAGTAGATTCTAATGTCCCTCTGTAAGAAAGATATGGACCAGACATGATTGCACAGACAGACGGACGGACGGACAGACAGCTAGACGGACAGACGGACAAGGTGATTCCTATATACCCCCCCAAACTTCGTTTGCGGGGGGGGGGGTATTATAAATATTACATCATTGATAGATTTCTATGCTGGTTGTGTTAGACCTTGTCAAATGCCCATAATATTAAACAATATCAAATTAGTCTTAACACCTTAATCTAAACCAAATTAATTTTGAAAAGAAAAGGCTGGCCATCAAATGACATATGCTATAAACTGAACAGCATTTCTTCTGTCTAATCCCCAAAGGATACAGATAAGACTGCTTGATCAGATAGCCTTTCTACACTGAACTCATTAATCTTGTCTACTCATTACTACCAAGAGATGAATGGGTCTGCACTATCTACCATAAAATTTTTTTTTAAACATATAAAATATTCAAAGATTTTTTTTTTGGTTGAGATTTAATGTCCGACAGGTTTTTTTTATGTAATTCATATGGACATACTGATTCCACCACACCCCATAAAATTAGTTTTTAAATTAATGATATTATATAATATCAGATTAATCTATTATGCAATATCAAATTAGTTTTAATTACTTTTCATCAAATTCATTTTAAAACTTAGGTTAGCCAGCAAGAGTTTTTTTTTATCCAACAGGCTTAACCATTTGCCCAATACTCAAGGGATATAGATAGCACCGATGCTCTAGCTGTCAGTTAACTCCTCACACTAAACTCATTAATCTCTCTCTAATTTGACATGCAATTTTCTTTTATCAAAATTCTTCTTGACCAGTGCTTGATAATTACACTCATGGGAGAGGTAGGATTTCTCTAACATACATTATATTTGTTATAGATTGCTGTCAAGTATATGCTTAAAAAAATAAGTATTTTCTTGATTTAACACTTTTTTAATAAGGACAGTGCAATACTCTTACATTATTTGGGATGTGAAAATGAAAAGTAATAAGACACATTTTTAAAACAAGATGTGTTTGTGAAACACTATGCGCCCGGCGGCAACAAAGTTCAAAAAATCTATTTTTAGCATATTGGTCACAGTCAAGGTCACAAGGTCATTGACCATGGTGTCGTTTGAAAGAACTTAATCGGTGGAGTATGCATCCCAAATATAAAGTCCCTATCTCCTATGGTTCAAAAGTTATGGCAAAAAGTGTAAAAAGCTATTTTTAGCATATAGGTCACAGTCAAGGTCACAAGATCATTGACCTTGTCGTCGTTTGAAAGGACTTTATTAGTGAAGTATGCATACCAAATATGAAGTCCCTATCTCCTATGGTTAAAAAGTTATGACAAACAGTGAAAAAAGCTATTTTTAGCATATAGGTCAGTCAAGGTCACAAGGTCATTGACCTTGATGTCATTTGAAAGGACTTTATTAGTGGAGTATGCATACCAAATATGAAGTCCCTATCTCTTATTGTTCAAAAGTTATGGTGAAGGTTAAAGTTGACAACAGACAGACAGACAAACAGACAGGACAAAAACAATATACGCCCGGGATTTATCGATCCGGGCGCATAAAAAATTTCACTTAAATTAAAGGTCACAGTGACCTTGAAATAGGTCGCGACACACCTTCTACGTAAGATGCATAAACTAGCCAAGTTTGATGATTGTAAGTCTTACAGTTTTCTAGTTATGGGCCGGAAAGGATTTTTCCATATTTGGCTATATCTTCTTAATTAAAGGTCAGAGCGACCTACTTTTTGTGCGCGACACACCTTCTACCCAAGATGCATCAGATGACAAAGTTTGATAATCCTAGACCTAATAGTATTAAAGTTATGAGCCGGAAACGAAAAAGCTAACAGACAGACGGACGGACACGAAGCCTATAACATAATACGTCCCGTCTTAAGACAGGCGTATAATATATGGTAAGATTAGTAAGAAATAATTAACTTTAAGCTTTATATGTATCCAATTTTTAAGGCAAAAATTGAATTTTTTTAAAGCTATTCTAGTTGTTGTAGTTCTTGACACTTATTAAAACTACTTATATATAAATAGAAGCAGAGGAAATTTACGCTAAAATACTATATACATGTAAGTAGGAGGTAATTCTTTGAAAGAGATACTAAAAATGACGGTGAATGATAGATCAATCCTACATTATAAGGATTGTCTGTACTCTATTAAGTGTATAAATAAAAACTCCTTATCACAGTGTATTTCTCTGAATTTCTCCTAAATATCACAAACATGAGGAAAAAGCGGTGTTTTTCTTCTATCACAATTCACACTTAAAGTACCCCCGTTATATAATCTTAAACAAGCTACATGTAAAAATTGTATGTAAAAAAATGAAATGGTCAGGAAATTCGTTATATACATGTATTTATGTATCCCTCTCCATCTCCAAAATCATAAATTTTATACATTTGCTTCCATATTAGATCCCTTCATTTATCTATTTTACTGCAAAATTATCATTTATTTGGAAGCATCTTCATGTAATTTGTATTGAATTTACAGTGATCAATTAGCACTTACATTGTACATATGTATGTTAAGTGACATCACTTACCCTGCCCTGCCAGTCCTACCGACTCTATGAACGTACTCCTCCATGTTCCGAGGAAAATCGTAATTAAAAACATGTCTGTCAAAACATAAACACAAATATACATTACAACAGTTGAACATTTAGGTTGGTGGGTATCTCTGTAATATTTGATTATATTATTTAGATTAATAAAGTTAATTGTACTAAAGAGGCCTATGTTTTTGTGACAAAATGGTAAAAATTGGTACAGTGAAGGTAAGTATAAATTTTGACTTACGTAATGTCTTTAACGTCCAGCCCCCTGGAAGCGACATCAGTAGCTACAAGAATCCTAGTGTGTCCCAGCTTAAAATCCTCTAAAGCCTGCTCTCTGTCACACTGTTCTCTATTCATCAGGTAAATCACAAATGATATTATTTTTCTTAACTTAGTTCAACAGAAAGACAATTATATAAAGAACTTGTAGTTTCATATCTTTTGCAAATTCAATATTTAAAATTTTTGTCTTAACTATGAAGTATTGTAAGTGTATGTAACAGAAATATGATACAATGTTACAAGATGATTGTGAAACGCAGCTCATAGCAAAGGATACAGTTGTGTCGCTATAATTTCCTTAGATAATACCGTATAGCGGGTTTTTTTGGCGGGTGTAAAATTTAGCGTTTTGCCTGCTCAAAGGTATGCCAATAATTTTGGCGTAATTTATTTTAGCGAACACAAAGTTTCAGCTCTTTGCAGATGAACATTAAGAAGAGTACAGACTATTTTAGCGATTAAAGTTTTAGCGGCCTCCGATCAAAATGCCAAAACAAGCTAAAATTAGCACCCCGCTAAAATAACCCGCTATAAGGTATATAGTATCAAAGAACATTCATTTAGTGGCTTTTGATTCTTGGAATTACACACCCATGTCATGTCACAGTTTAGGAGATGAGCCTCAGTAAATACTGTGTACATCACCACTTCTGTAGGCGGCAACAGTTGTTTTATACTGATGTAAAATTGTTTTATATTGAGATCCAATGGAACACCTGGCTATGATCTGCTGATGCCTTGGGACATCAATTTGGCTTTTCTAATCTATAAATACAGCTGCACATCTTTATGAAGTGTAAAACCTTCCTTACCTGTCTCCATGAATACACTGACAGTTGATCATCTTCAGAGATAAATCACTGGACAGGTCATCAGCCCTGAAATAGAAACAACATTTTATTAACTTGGGAAAGCTCACTTAAAAAGCTCTCACTTCAAAGAACTTTTAAATACTTTGTTTAAATGCTTTCAAAAACAAAAATTTAAGTAAAAAAAAGAAACAAATTTAACTTACGTTAATTTTTTTCCCACAAAAACCAGAACCTTGTCCTCCTCTTCCATTTCCTCCAATATAAACCTCACAACCTTTAAAACAAAGTACACCTCACAGACTCTTACATTCTTGACATAAAAATTTCATTTCCAAATAAATATTCCACACATGTAAATATAATATAAATACAATGTAAAGTAAACATAATATAAATACAATGTAACAAATAAGATTAACAGAGTTACCCTCTCCTTCTTGTCTTCCTGGTCGACAATTTCTATGAACTGTGTGACAGAGTGACAAGTCTGTAATGAGAAGATATGCTGCTAAGAATTTATCAGTCACCTACATCTGTGGTATTAACAGAAAAGATCTACAATTAATCAATGTTCATGTATAAAGAACGTCCATGCTAGCCTAGCCATAGCAAGCATTAATTTGTACATTGTGTTCAATATGACCTAGATATCTAACCTAGCAGCTAGGCTAGCTGCTACGATTTTGAACACGGCCCTGTAGTCACTTACTGCTAAATCTAGGGAACCAACAAACACTTGTATGGGATCTTTGAGGTAGCTCTCTCCTAATCTTCTGACTCCAGGGGGCCAAGTAGCGCTACAAACAGAAAGTATGCATTGCATTCTTAAATACTTCACGATCTCGAAAGTAACCCAGATGTTTAAAGGCTGAAGATATAAAAGTTAAGATCTATCAGCATCTGATATTGCTAAGTTATAAAACTTAAATTTTCACTTTATATGTAATACTAAGATGTTCTTTTTTCATCAGGTTTACATTAGATATGGTAACGATAGATGAAATCTGACCTT